ACTCTATTTAAGCCAACATTACTGGTATCAATTAGGCAGCACAGCTTAGGAAGAAATGTCTTCGTAATAATCCACAGGTTAAGATGCCCAGTAGAAGGAGGTGTTTCCATAAGATAAATACACTACATTACAGGCAGTGGGGGATCTCCCCACACCCATTGACACCATACCAGATACCAGGGGAAGATGGCCACAGCAAACATGTGAAAGCATAGCATTAAAAGACAGTCTGAAGTCTGTGGTGTTGGGCCCTTACCAATCTGAGATTCGCCCATCAGCAGGGATTTGCCTCCTGGTAGGCTGGCACCCTGAAGTCAGGTGCCATCAGCTGCTCCTCTGACATGGCTACTTAGGCTAGATTTGATGTCCCACTCTTGTTCTCTTTGATGACCCACATCCCAACAGCTGCTGAAGCCTTTGGGGCTCTTTCTCTCAATTTTGCTAAACCATTTCCCCATCCATGTCCTGTACTCTAGAGGGGCTATTGCCTCTCTGAGTAATGCATGTCCCTTCTTCCTAACCAGAAACTCTTGGGTACATGCGCCAAAGGAGTTTGTGGACGTCCACTTTTGACTGCCCCTTTCCTGACCTTACCTTTGGATCCTCACCCCGGCATCCTCTGCTCTGCCTTTCCTACCTACAGGTTCTCTCGGTTGAGTCCTAACGTATCCCAGTGGGTGATGAGGTCACAGAGGTAACCATCTGAGTATGAGGGGCAGCTGCACTATCAGAGGTTCACAGAGCCTGATGACCTCAAGTGGTAGGCTTGCCAGTACACCTTGAGCCTCAGAAGTCTGACTGGAGTGGCATCCACAGCTTTACCTTACTAAGATGGAGCTGCTGGAGATGTTGAATGGAGTTCTTGTGGAGGAAGGGACAGGGAGATGGACTTCCCAACTGCCTCCGCACTGTAGGAAGGTAGACATTGGTTTGGCTCTTCAAGGGGGATGGGCGTGAATGAACAAAGAACTTTCTAGTAAGCAGAGTCAAAGAGGAAAATGTTATGGCGGAACTAAATGTAAGATGCCTTTGGAAAATAAATCACAGGGCAAAGTGCTGATGGGATTTTTTTTAAAGGTCTATACTTTTCACTCTTTCAAAGCCATTTTAATAGTAAAAGGAGGGACACACCAACGAAGTAGAATCAGAACTATATACAGTGTATGTTTTGCAATGAAACAAGCTTTAAAAAATATGGGCTCCATGGTGGCCTTGTAGTAGATTGAATGGCAGCCCCCAACCTCCACCAAAATGTATTTGCCTGCAACTATTAGCTAGACCCTAGTTAATAAGAGGGTCTCTGTAAATGGTGTGTGTGTATCTTCAAACCAAGCATGTGTATTTAGAAAGACAGAAGAGGAGATGATGGGCTGGAGTTGGCGACCAGGCATGTTAGCACAGAGCAGACATTGGGATGGAGCAGACACAAGTCACAGAATGAATGGTAGAGCCACGAGTAGCCAGAAGTAAGGAAGGGCTGTTCTCTGTGGCCTTTGGGGGGAGATTCTGGGCTTCAGAGTGTGGAGAGGACAAACTGTGCTTTATATTGTCTTGTCTAATTTGTTGAGGTAGCCCCAGGACTGACTACCTTAACAACATAACAGCAGCACTAGGAAGGTAGTTCAGGCTTCTTAGGGCTAATCCCCCAGTCTTCCTAGGAGCAAATGCTCCTGTCTCCTGAAATGTGAAGATGAAAAGATCTCTGATGAGACTGTGGTGGGCAATGGGGGATTTCTTTTTAGCAAGGGCAGATGACAGGAGAAAAGCATTTAGCAAGGTTAAGGTGCCACGGACACCCAGTATGAATATGAGAAAACATGCATGACTAAACTGGAAGGTGGCGATAATGGGGACAGAAAGAGAGAGAGAGAGAGAGAGAGAGAGAGAGAGAGAGAGAGAGAGAGAGAGAGAGAGTTGTGACGCACAGTTCTGCCTCAACTCTTGCGCTGTTTTGGGTTTTGAAGATGTGAAACAGGCGTTAGCGTTGGTAGATGTCCAGATTCAGTAACAATTCATGGTACGTATTGCTGGGGCATAATGTAAATAAATGTCAGTATCCCGTGATGGAAACAGAAGGGAAGGCACAGCTAAATGTTTAAGAATTGTGAACCACAAGAATCTCATTTGGACTGCATGGGATTGTGGGAAAGCCCCTTTGCTTTCTTTCTAGGGTTGCAGGTGGCTGGGAGATGGGTCTAGAAGAGGTCTAGATGGCATGTGGCTTCTCCTGGGAGTTGAAGTAAACTCTAGTGTATCTGGAGGTTGTTCTGTTGTTCCGCCTGTCCCACAGCTGCTTATAAAATAATCACCCAGAGGATTAATATTGACTATAGTTTTTCTGGCCAATGGTTCTGGCTTATTACAGCTAGCTCTTTACATTTAAATGAACCCATTTCTACTAATCTATGTATTGCCATGTCACCGTTTTCTACATATCTTGCTTCCTCAGTGGCTGCTGGTGTCTTCCCTTGACTCTGCCTTCTTTCTTGCATTTCCGGTCTAGCTATATTATGCCCTGCTATAGGCCACAGCAGCTTTATTCTTCAACCAGCAAAAGCAACACATATTCACAACATACAGCAGGACATCCCACATCACTTTGGGCCAGTGGTTCTCAACCTGTGGGGTGCCACCCCTTTGGGGAATTAAAAGACCCTTCCACAGGGGTCACCTAAGACTGTCAGAAAGCACAGATACTTACAATACTATTAACAACAATATCACAACTACAGTTATGTTGAAGCAACAAAAGTGATTTTACAGTTGGCAGTCCCCATAACGTGAAGAACTGTATTAAAGGGCCACAGCATTAGGCTATGACAGAAGCTGTGGGATAAAGAGCTGGCTTAGGAAGGACATCAGGTAGCCTAGCAGAGTGGACTAGCCTTAAGATAATGCAGACAGACTGGAATTCTCTAAGACAGGGGCATACAAAAGATGACCTTTCATATTTCAAGGGCTGGGAGGATGGCTCAGTGATAAAAGTACTTGCCAGGTAAACACAAGGAGCAGCGTTTGTGTTCCCATTTTCCATGTGACTGCCAGGTGGGTATGCAACCCTCAAGAAGTAGAGACAGGGGATTCCCCCAGCAGTCTGGTTAGCTACAGTAGCCAAATCAGAGAGCTATGGGTTCAAGTGAGAGTCATCAGGGAGAAATACCAAACAAAAGTCTCCATAAACACTAGCACACACATATGTGTTCATGCATACATGAACACACACACATACAGAAAAAAATAAATCCACCTCACGTCTTCTTTGGGAATACTGCTGCCAGATGCTTGGAAGACAACTCCTCACAGTCAGAGACAGGCTGGCTGGAACATTAGGAATGAGAACGAAATACCTTATAGCAAGTTGCTGTATTTTAGACAGCAGCAGAAGCACCCCTTGTAGGAAGGAAAAGTAGGTGGGCGGCTAGGGTTTGAAAAGGAGCTATTGAATTTAGATGCAAGATGTCAGTGGAACCTGTCTTGGTTTGTGTTCTATTGCTGTGAAGAGACACCATATAGATGCACATATATACACACATGTCTATAACTCATATACACACATATGCATTTAATTAGAGGCTTACTTGTAGTTTCAGAGACTTAGTCAGTTATCATTGTGGCAGGGAGCATGGCAGCAATCAGGCAGGCTTGGTGCTGGACAAGTAAGGCAGAGACACACACTGGGCCTGGCCTAGCTTCTGAAACCTCCAAGCCCACCCCCAGTGAGTGACACAGCTCCTCTGACAAGGACACACCTCCTAATCCCAACAGTTCACCAACTGGGGGACTAAGCATGCAAATATGTGAGTCTATGGGAGCCATTCTTCTTCAAACCTCCCTAGGGACTTAATAAAGAATCAGAGGGAGAGAAGCAGTCTGAGAGGCCACAATTCAAAGCAAAAGCTAAAAAACCCCCAAACAACAACAACAACAACAAAACAAACATCTGGGTCTGTATTGTCCTGTCTTATTTAGGGTGAACGAATTTTAAATAGGGTTAAACTATTGATTAGCGTTCTGATTTCCTTATTGTAAATCTACTCTATTAGCAGGATGAGGTCTGCACAAAAGGATGAATGGAGATACCGTTCTCCGCCTGGAAGAGGGTGTCGGATATGCTGATTTTGTACCTAATGCTCTTTTGTCGGGCTATGTGCCAGACACTTTACATAGGAGGCAAGTGAACATCTCATGTGATAAAGTCGAGAAAGGTTCGTTGTGAAACACACGTGTAAGGCAACACAGTTCAGGAAGCCTACAATCGCTCCCTATGATTACAACGCCAAACTTCCTCAGGTTACCCAGGCCTGGAAACTTCCTTTAGGGAGGGAGGCAGCTTAGGGTGAATTGTTTCTGCCTCAATAAGGAGGAGCCAAGGGCCAGGATAGAATCTCATTAACATAAATGTGAGCTGCCCAACCAGAAAACTGAATTCATTTGAATATTAGGGCTTCCTTTGGAGAACCACGAGAGAAGGATCTTGGAGAAGAAACATCTGGATTCCGTTGTGTGAGGCGTATGTGTTCCTTCCCCTTGTTCTAGGATTTGCTTACAGGTTAGCCACTGCTCAAGGCTAAGTGGGCGAGGGAGCCTTCTAAAGCCTTCCCAGCCTCCTCCTGTACTAAAAAGAGAAATCCCAGGCTCCAAAGAGCTGGCCTGGGCGCCCGGGAGGCAGCGGAGGTCGGGTTTCCTCTCCTCCCCCTAGGAAGTGGTCTCGCCTGGGAGGATGGAGTGAAAAAGTGTCTGGTTGGGAAAGTAAATAGATGCAAGGCAAATAAATAAAGAAAATACCCACAAGCAATTACTGGAAGGAAGTGACATTTTTATGTAAGTCACTTTTCTGACGGACACCAGGCCAGCTTGGCGGAGAGAGCCGTGGGAATGCTTCCGGGGAGGGGTGGTGGTGGGGTGGTCGCTGTAAGAATCAAACGTTCAGCGGGGGTGCGGAGGCCACCCGGTGGGACTCGCGAGCTGGAAGTTGCACTGCTTTCTTCCTCGTTCCCCAGCCCGCCAGCCCCCCAACTCCGATCGCGAGCCGGTTGCTGCGCGAAGCCCGCAGGCGGCGCTTTTCCCGGGCCCGGCCGGGACTCCCAGGTGGGTCCCCCGCCCGGCGCGCGCCGAGCTGGGCCGGCCCCTGGGCGGCGTCACGACAGCCGGGGAGGAGCGCGGGCGGGCGGGGAGCGCGCGGAGGCGGGCGCTGCGCGGGAGGGTCGCCGCCGCGGATCGCAGGCCGGGGCGCGCGGCCGAGCGGGCGGCGGCGGTGGCGGCGGGGAGGGCTCGGCGGCGGGCAGGGCTCGGGGCTCCCGGGCCGGCTGGGTCCGCCGGGGCCAGCAGCGTCCGCCCGGCGGCGGGAGGAAGGAACGGTGTAGACAAAGAGCGGCATCTGGGCGGGCGCAGCGCGGCCGCCGCCCCGGGACCCGCGCCTCTGCCCTCCGGCCTCGGCGTGCGGTGTGCAGAGAGGTAAGGCGACGGGAGGGGGCTGCAAACTTGGGCGGGTCGGCAGAGTTGGGAGAGAGGGGCCGGCGGGCAGCGACCGCCTGGGAAGGAGCAGAGAGCGCGTCCCCCTGCGCGCCCCGCTGGTGCCCTCGGCCCCGCCGCGGCCTGGGCGTCCCCGGGTACCCGCACCTCGGATACACACCTTTCTGCGAGCCTTCGCCTTGCCCAGCCTCGGGCTGGCGTGGGGGTGGGGCGCCCTCAGCGGGCTGACAGCGGGGACTAGAACCGAGAGCCCTCGGGAGCACAAGCAGCCCTGGCCTGCGGACGGGCGTGGGACCGAGCCGTAGCCGGGTCGCCGGGCGCGCGTGCCTGGGAAGAATAGCCTGGGGTCTAGGGGCCCCCGGCGCTAGGAAGCGAGAGGCTGCGATGGTCTGGGAGAAGTTACTGTATTTATAACTATTCGTGATCCGGCACAAAGCTGCTGTCACGTCTCATATAAGCGGTCCTTGCCTCGGTGCAGGGCGCTTTTTGTGCCTGGTTCTAGTCCCTGCGCCCTACCCTGCATTTCCAAGGCTTAAACCTCCTGAGCCAAAGTTTCTCCCAGCCACCCTGTCCCTTCGGCGTATTCAGGGCGATTTAAACAAGTGGTTTTTTGCAAGAATTTGAGGTGGGACTTTTAATGTCTCGACAGCACCTCCCTTTTGAGCACTGTTAGCTTGGCATTGTGTGGAGGGGTTGGATTTGCAAAACGCTGTAATTTATACACAGTAACGATTCTCCCGGAAGGTGTGCGCGGGATGCTGGGTGGTGGTTAATGGATAGAAGACGTACGTGACTTACAGTAGTATTGTGAACAGCTTGGGGACACAGCTGGGTGCTAAGTGGAGTGGGCCCTGCCCACCCTGGTCTGTTCAGGTCGCCAGTCTGTCCCTTATTTGGCTTTTCTTATTTTGCCAACAGGTTTAAGGCTAATCCTGCCAAGTTTGAGTCTGTGTCTGGGATGAACAGGTCCCAGTTTGGGCTGCAGGTCCCTAGGCCTGCTCCTTGGTTGACTCCAAATGAAACAGCCCATTGGCTAGTGACCATGGCTTGGGGAGGAACGACCCCTTTGCTGCTCCTCAGCCATTGCAGACTTTTCTGCAGGGATTTTGAGGAGGAATGAAAATAATTTCAGACCTGTATTTGGGGATAGTTATCAACAGTGGTTGTGGGCACTTCCTCCATTCACTTTCCACGTGTTTATAGATACAGAGACGTAGAAAACAGACCTTCGCGAATGTGCCCAGTTTATTATATATAGCGAAGGCAGCCAGTGGACACAAAGAGAGACTGCTTTCCAGACAGTTAAGGTTTTAAACCTTTTGGGGCAATCCTAAGTGACCACAAGGGACGATCCTACCTTAAATTTTCTCACACTCTGGTCGGTTAATGCAGTTTTGATTGAAGAAAGAAAGGCCCCAGTGGTCTGAGGCTGAAATTGAGAACTTTGTGCGGTGGTAAATCTTGGAATTACAGCTCACGACCTGCTTTGCTCTCAGCCTCTCAGATGTGCAGTCTTCAAGTGGGGAGTTGCAGTATGAGCTCTGGCAGCTTGATAGAGCTGATCAGCTCACCCATGGAGAGACTGCACCCTTTAAAATGGGCAGAGCAGGTACAAGGTGGTTTCCAGTTTTGCATCCCCTATACCACGCTTCTTGCTTCAGTCTCCTTCACCGCTCTGTTTGACCCTGTCATAATCCTGACCTCTCTGTCATGTACTTTGAGGAACTGAACATTCCCAGCAAACAGGGGCTCCCAGGTGTTTGGGAAATGTACTTTTCATCCTTATTAAATCTCCCTTGGCCTTCCTTGCTGGAGCAGACTAGATGACCCCTTCAAAACACCCGGAGACTTGCTGATTGCATAGCGACCCAGAGTTATTTGTTTGATCTCTTGAATTAGCTTAATCTGCCCTGGCAAGGCTGGGCTGAATTGCTCTGTATGGCACACATGGTTCTGTTACCTGACTGGCTTGCAGTGTGCTGGGCCTGACATGGCTTGTGGAAATGATTTTATGATGTTCAGAATGAAGTTTAATGATGGAAGAATTCCAGATTGCTTGCCGTAAGTGCAGAGCAGGTTAGTGAGCAGTGTTTGGGGAAAACTAGTGAGCTAACTTTTCTTACAAATGAACAGGAAACTCTTGACAGCCCCCCCTCTCCCCCAGACTTAGGAATTGTTTCTTTTTCCTGAAATGAGTGATGGAAACATTTCTCAGGGTGTTTTCAAAGGACAGAAGTGAAAAAAAATATGCCATTTGTGCTGTTAAATGCCCACATTAAGGCGATTCAGAAGGTGGTCAAAGCACTGTTTTGAAACAGGCTATCAAAGGTTTGCAGCCATGGTGAAAGTAATTCATTTCTTTAGGCCTTCAGGACTGTGAGAAGAATGTATTTTTCAGCACCTCACTTCAGACATATTGACGAGAACCTGCTAGAAAAGTCTTCTTAGGGAATTACACCCTGTGTACCCATCCCCACCTCTCACCCTGCCCTATGGAGAACACTTCTGTCCTCCAGGCATGGCGGTGAAAGGCGTTCTTTACATTGACATAGCAGTGCCTTGTTAGGGTTGCGGTGGTCTTCCCCATCTCTGACTTGTATCTGTATGAGTAGCTCAAGAGGGATCTGGTCACTTTCACAGCTCCCATGAGTATCTTAAGTTTCATCTTCTCAATGGCCATCTCTCCTTTATCTTGCCATCTTGCATCTTAACCTAGAGGCAATGAATGTGTCCTGGAACTTCCAAGAGAACTTTCAGGATCATTTCCTTTTGACATCTATGGCCTTCTAACCAGTAACGAGTTGTCTCTGGTGTTTCCTAATCTGCCATGGGCTGGAGGGTGTAGGGCGGGCACCACACTTGATCTACAGTTCACGTGTGACAACACTTAGTAACGCATTGTTGCTTTCTGGCATGTGTTACCGAGGTTGGTAGTGAAATCAGAACCCTAGCCTCTGCTCAGAACACTACCGCACCATACATAGCCTGCCTGGTCCCTAGGACGTTCAGACAATGAGGAAATGTGATCTGGCAGCCTCTGTTTGGTGAATTCTCTGGTCAGGCAAGTCATTTGTAGTCTAGTCCTCTAGTGAGACCTAAAGACAGGAACAAAAAAACAAAACAAAAACTCATGAAATTCCTCTATACCCCCTTTTACACATCCTGAAGGTAATCTTACATAATCCCTTTTGTGCACCTGCATTGGACTTCCTGGAGCCAAACAAACCCCGCCCCAGAGCCTTGGGATGGACTGCCCGAATGGCTTATGTTGTCTTGAGACAGGGTCTCACTGTGTAACCCTTGCTGTCCTCATACCTGATTCTTCTACTGCAGCCCCCAGAATGCTGGAATTGCGGGTGTGTGCCATCATGTGCCTAGCTTGAGTGTTTTGATTTTTCAATAGAAAAGGCTGCCCAGGTCAGCCTATTGTGACAGCTCTGGCCAAAGCGTTGGTTTGGCCAGAGGAAGTAGTTATTCGGTCAAATCCCTCCTTTCTGCTGTCTGTATTGGCAAGATTTCTAAGAAAAGAAAGTTCAGGTTTACTCAGTTTGATTTCAGTTTGACCATCTGTAATCTGAAGTACTGAAGTGTTGCAGATTTTAGGACTTTTCATTTTTCTTTATAGCCGAATAGTATTCCACAGCATGTGTATACCACATTCCCACTATTTAGGTCATTTCTGTTTCCTAGTCATTGTGAATAGGGTGGCAATAAACGCGGCTGAGCAGGTGTCTGTGGAGTAGGATGGAGAGTGCTTTGGGCATGTGTCAAGGTGCAGTATAGCTAGGTCATATGCTAGCTTGATGTTTAGTGGCTTTTTTTTTTTTTTTTTTTTTTTTTGCAGAAGGCCCTACCAAACCGGAGGCTTTCAGAGCAACCGCCATGATGCTGCCACAAATGGAAAATTCCACCCTTGACTTTGTGACAGGTTATCTGAGTTCAGGTGTACTAGAAAGACTGCCTAAGATTGCAATCAGTGCATAGATAAAGTGTATACGAAACACATGTATTTCTTGTTTTGATTTGTTTGTTATTTCCTCCAAAGTCTGACCTATGCAGGTTGTAGATGGGGATGTTAGGAAATAACTAATTCATCAGCAGGATAAACAAATAAATTTTAGCCCAGGAGTTCTGGTTGAGGGTGGCGTATAATGAACGTGCCTCAAAGGCTGGCACACATCTGTCCCCAGACAGGTGGATGAGACACATTCAGCCTGTATTTCAAGTTCTTTTTTTTTTTTTTTTTAAAGGCAGTTTTAGGAAGTAGATATGTTGGCTAACCAGCTGTTGGGAAGACCCAGACTTCCATATAATAAGACAAGAATAAGACACTAATGTGGTTTATAGTTTACAGGGTTCTTTTTGTGTGCTTGATATTTAGTGTTCTGTATAGAATGCATAATTGGTTCTGATTCACATCTGTCAAAGACCGGGATCCAGGACACTGCCAGGGGTTATAAACTGTGGATTTAGGTTGAAATCTTGCTCAATGCCCTGTCACCTCTCAGAAGGAGAAGGTGAGGCCACAGTGTCAGTGAGTCCAGGAGTATTGTCATGGCCCTTGGGTGTTGATATATATATATATATATATGTAATGAAACACCATAACCAAAAACGAGTCAGGAAACAAAGGGGTTATTTATTTATTTATTTATTTGGCTTACACTTCCACATCATAGTTTATCAGTGAAGTCAGGACAGGAACTGGGCAGGAACCTGGGGGCAGGAGCTGATGCAGAGGCCACGGAAGGGTGCTACTTACTGGCTTCCTCCCTGCTTTCTTCTAGAAGCCAGGACCCACCAGCCCAGGGATGGCATCACCCTCAGTGAGCTGAACCCTCCCACACATCTATTCTGGGCCATGTTGCAGGTGTATAGAGATGTGGGTAGGACAGTTAACATGTGGGGGCCCTTGGAGTAAGAGCCATTTGTGTGGAGGCAGAGGGAAGATAGGGCCAGGCTTGACTTTGTGTCCTCACTTC